CAGTTATGAGGACACTGACAGGGAGGATGGCATGAACCCAGGAGTTGCCATTACATAGGGAGACCCCAGCTAAATAAATATATGTACATATACATATACATAAAGCTACAATAATGCAGTGCTCCTAAAAGAACTGTACAACACTTCTTAGTCATCCTCCTACTCTTCGGCAGGTTTTGACAAATGTGTATAGTCACATGCCTCTGTGTTATCACGATGCACAAAGGTCCCGTCACTCTAAAAGCCCCTCACTCTCACTCTGCCTTTTGTAATCAACCCCTCCTTCCACCTCCAATCTGTGGCAAAAACTGATCTGTTCTTGTACCTAATGCTTTTTCTTTTTCAGAATATCATATGAAATCACACAATATAGCATGTGGGGACTCAGTGAGCTTTAAAAGTCTGTAAATGCATGTCTTTCACCAGGGATGGAAGTTTTTAGCCATGCTTCTTGAAGCATTTTTTCTACACCAATCTTTTTGCCTTCTCCTCTGGGTTTCTTAAACACAAATGTTAGACATTTTCTATTGTCCCTCAGGTCTGTAGGCTCTGCTCATTTTTTCTAGTCTTTTCATCTTCAGATTATGCAATTTCTACTAATCTTTGTTCAGCTCCACTTATTCTTTTCTTCATCTCCACTCTGATATTGAATTCATATAATAAACATTTAATTATTTTAATATTTAATATTAATATTTTAGATGTTTTTTTTTAATTTTAAAATTTCTAGTTGGTTCTTTTTATACTTTCTATTTCTTTTCTAAGAACATCAATCTTTTCATTAATTTCAGTGCTACTCCTGACTTCACAGTGAAGAGTTATGATTGCTGCTCTAAGAACCCCATCTTATCATTCTAATCTCCAGGTCACCTCAGGTATGGCATTTGTTAATTGTTATTTTCCTTACAATTATTTGTGCTTTTCCTTGTTCTTGACATGTCAAATAATGTTGGGCTACATCTAGAAACTTTGAACACTGCATTATGTCACTCTTGGTCATGTTAAAGACTCAGTCTCCTAGAGAACTGATTTACTATTGTTTTTGTTTAAAATGTTGTAGTTATTGTTGCTGTAGGCAATCAACTCTATTAAGCTCAAAGGACATGTCCCAATTCACACTCTCTAGACTGTGGTTTCAATGTTAGTTCATTTTCCCAAGTATTTTAAGTGCTCTTTAATCTCTCTTCATACTTGTCACCTGAAGGCCAATCTACGAAAAGTGCAGGGGTCTGTCTATGCATTAGTTCAGTTCTGTACTATGTCTCCGGGGAATAAGTTCCACAGATGCTCAACTCAAAGATGAGTCTGCTACGTCACAGACAGAAACATTTAGGTCATCTTTCTCCTTCATTCCTCTCCACAATTTTTTCTGCACTCTCTGTCTCCGGGGCCCTTTTCTTGATTCTCCGGCTTTACAATTAGCATTTTTGACTCCTCATCACCTCAAAAGTTTCCTGAGACTACATAGGCCTCAAAGGTGAAGTGAGGAGGGAAAAAGAGCAAAAAGTAATAGCTCTTCTCCTCGTGCACTTTGAACACTAAATCAGACTTTTATTTTTGAAATCATATCACTTACTCAAGCTACCTAAATGATCTTTCCAACATGCTTCAGTCCTCTTCAATTCTAGGGTGTGTGGAAATTTGTATAATCACCTGTTTGAAATTAATAGTACCTACTGAAGCACCTCATGTAATACTTGTCATGATATACAAGTTCACCTGTTGAGGACACAGACAAATGATAAACAAACAAAATAGTAAAAATTATATTTGGATAAACACACAGGTACAAATGAAATTTCTATGAAAATTCCAAAACCCTGAAGTTACTTGCTGCTGAACTCATCCTAATGTTACATGTAAAATTCCTTTGGTATGATTTGTACAAAGTAAATAGTTCTTTATTTTCAAAGACTTGAATTTTAAAATCCAACCTGTATTTTCTATGCCTACTACCACATTTACTATATAACCAAAAAATGCAATGGGTGGTTGGGTAGGGGAGTTCATTGGGACTGGCCTTACCTATATAGAAATAATTACTTCCATGGTGTAAAGCTTTTCTTATTAGGATCAAATCAAACTGTCATCTTAAGAGCATTTCTACTTTTTGAAAAATAAATCCTTAACGTTCCATAGTTAGGCAGATATTGTTTAGACATTGTTTTGTTTAAGGACAAAATTATGGGCTATTATTTTTTAAGTCAAAAACAGAGTCAGGCTCATGCCTGCAATCCTAGCTACTTGGAAGGGTAAGAACAGGGGGATTAAGGATTAGGCTTTAGGCTTGAGGCCAGCCCAGGCAAATAGTTTTCGAGACTCCATCTCCAAAATAACCATAGTAAAAACCAGACTAGAAGTGTGGCTTAAGCAGTAGAGTACCTGTTTTGCAAATGTGAAGCCCCTGATTTCAAATGCCAGTCCCACAAAAAAAAAAAAAAGTTAAAACCAAAAGTAGTATCACTATTATAAAGCAAATAAGGGTATTTCAAAAAATACAGCAGAGCATGGTAGCTGTAGCACCTGTAGCCCAAGGCTCAGGCAAGAAGATAGTAGTTGAGCCTGAGATTTTGAGGGCAGCCTGGGCAAAAACAGCAAGACCTCCATCTCTAAAGAAGAACTTTAAAAAAAATTATCTCAATATAAAAAGACACAGAGTTGGTACAACAAGTCCACCAAACTTAAACATTGTGATCTCATAATTTTTCAAATCTCAGTTTTGGCCCTTGGCTTTCTGATCTCTCCAAAAATATTCAAAAATAAATTCTGTTCATTGAGTATGAAAAAATGTTATAGCACATTATCATGGTATCTATTTAAAGCAGATTTAATGGCAAAGATAAAATGTTCTGGGAAAACATAACTTCTGAAGTTCAGTGTTTATGATGTCATTCAGGCAGGGACCATAAAACTTTTTGGCATGGGTTTCAAAAATTGTGAAAATTTTAAGTAACTGCCAAAATTTAATATTGTTGTGATTCACAGAAATAGAGAACTTAAGAATCCACACATTACTTAGACCTGTCTTCTGCTTCTAGCAGTTTAATATCTGTACCATCCAGATTGAAGACTATAAGAAGTAAAAATTTTTTTCACAAGCAAGATAACAATCCCACAACCTCCCTGAAGCTCCCTGTAGCTTTTCCTCACCCAGAAGTGATGGTCAGTGGATTCAATTTATCTCTAACTTTCTGTTCTTTGGTCATCAAAACTCATTCCTTCCCAATACATTGCAGAGATAGGTTTGAGATTTCTTTGCGGTCATCTTGCTTGTTATAAATACTCCCTTTCAAATTTCTCCTTCCTTTTTCTCAAGATCCTTTTCCACACTTTTCTTTGGATGCTATTCATTTTTCCCATATGCTTTTGTTTAAGAGCTTCATTTGAGCTGCTGCTTAAAAAGAAAAAATCGTATAATTCTGTAGGTTAAATTTTAAATTTTTTTTTATTTTATGTCCTTTTTGGCAGTACTTGGAGGTTTGAACTCAAGGCTTCATGCTTACTAAGTAGGTGCTCTACCACTTGAGCCATGCCTCTAGGCCTTTTTTCTCTAGATACTGTGGAGATAGTATCTCATTTTTTGCCTGGACCAGCCTGGACTTCAATCCTCCTGTTTTACACTTCTTGCCTTTGCTAACACTCTGTTGAGTAAATGACACATTCCATTTTCAGATTTCTTAAAAGACAAGAAAAATGTGTATCTTACTCATTGTAAAAACAGAAGGTCAAACAGTGCTTAAACACTTTGTCCAATGTTAATACCTGTTAACCAGACTGGTCACAAGGAGCAATACCAAATAACTACAGAAGAAATGGGTGGAAAGCCATTACCTAATTCCTCTTCACTAAGTGAAATAAGGACATAAACAATTGATACTGATATGCTCAGGTGATTATTCATAAAACTGTGTTATATACATTTTATCTACCTTCCTGTAACAGAAGACAAAGTTCAAAAGTTCACTAGCCCATAGGTAAAAATGTAGTAATAAATGAAATCATTTTCTGGCATTCTAGACAAGATAAATAGGTCTGACCTTATTACCAAGAAGACTTTCTCAAAATAGCACTGCTTACTGAGATATGAGGAAATCAATTCATAGACATATATAGGCTAAAATTAAAGCAAAGTGATTTGCTAATATGCAAGTAAATATTTCAGGGTATATTATCGTTTAAATGATGGCACATCTGTGTCTAATGAGCAAATATATCAACCAATCAATTTTAGAATCATATATAATTCTACTTAACTCCTTAATTACTCACTCCCACTATTAAATATTTAGGTAATTGAGTCATAAATATTATGTTAAATGATAAAGAACATAATTCCAGAATAGGAAGCACTATGTTTTATTTTCTGATATTTACTAGTATAATAGTAAAAAGAACACAGCAATGTAACATTACATTCACCTTCAACCTAAATATGTCTCAGTGAGGAGGAAATAAAAAGAAAGAGCATAATTAGCCTGGTAATAATTTTAGAATGGAAATTTACTTCAGGTGATAGAATTTTTTTAATTAACAGGAACAGTTAGAAAAAAATCAAAACTTAGAATTTATATCTTAACTGAGTCTCAATAAGAAGCAACACACAAAACACTTTTCTTTTTCCCCTTCTCTCTGCCTGTGTAAAATGTGAACACTTTAAATTATTTTATCCTAAGAAATAAGTATCAGTTCTATATAACATAAAATGGAAGATATAAGAAGATAAGGGATTATTTTCATTTATATATACATATATAAGTTATTATTAATGTGTCAATTTTAAGAGTAAATCAATTGGTAACCACAGATTATTTTCAACCTAAGATCTGGTTCCAATAAACTGTGACCTAAAATAAATCTGTATATCATATATTCAATATAATGTGTATCGAATATTTCTCTGTCTGTTACACAAAGCAGCATAGAATTAACCGCACTTTATATTTTGGAAATTATAAACTACTAATTAATAACTAATAATTATATTAAAATTCTCATCTTACTTCTCCATTTCTTAATGTTGTAATGGTTCCTCTTGCCACACCCATTCTAAACAGTGTTTCTGTGGCCTGTGGGAGGGAAAAAAGCTAAAATGTATCATCTATACACAACTGAATATCCCACCCCAAAACTATAAAAAAAAGTCCAGTACTATTACATATCCAGCAACTTTTAGAGAACCCATCAATATAGCACAATAAGAGCCAGAAGTTCTAAATTACACACCAGAAATATAACTTTCACAATCTTTTGAGAATGTTATCAAGAGCTCAAGCCAAACTGTTTCAAAAAGTTATTTTGATCTGTTTGCATTTTTCCAGGTCAAATTTTCAAATTAGTTCACCTAGATAAGTTTATTCCTAGTTTGATAAACAAAAATTAAGATAAAATTCAGTATTTGGATTCAGTTCAGAAGTTACCATTTATTCTGAATTTAATTTTGAATTCAGTTCAAACCATTTTCTCTAATAAAACAGAGAAAGAGGATGAAATAATTTAGTAATGTCCAATATTAGGTAACATCCCCAAATAGCCATTGCTTTCATAGGCTAACAATAAATAATTAGAAAAGGAAATTAAGAAAATAATTCCATTTTAAAAAGCATCAAAAAATTTTAGAACTTAGGAAAAACCTTAAACATGGGGATTTAAAAAAAAACTTTTCCACAGAAAACAATAAGCCATTGATGAAGAAATTAAAGGTACAAATAAATGCAAAGATATTTTTTGTTCCTGATTGGGAAGACTTACCACTGTCAGTATCACCTAAAGTGATCAACAGTTAACAAAGTCCCATTGGCACTGTTTGGAGAAAACCCAAACCTAAAATTTGTATTTATCAGCATATTATGAACATCCTTATCCACACCCCAAAGTTAAGGAAAGCCCAATTCCCATCTTCTGTATCAGGAAGCTAATACTGTGCAAGAGAATCAAGAATAGCAGTGTATGCAAGTACAGAAGTAAAGAAAAGACTGCAGGTGGCTATCTCTGGGTTATAAAAGTAAGGCACTGGAAGAGGTAGAGAAGAATATTACTGATTATCAAATTCCTTCGACACTTCTCTTGAATTAAAATCTTTTAAATTTTTAAAGAAGTGATTAACAGTGCCCAACTTCACAATGATGTCAAATATTCTACAATTTTAATAGAACAGTGCTCATGAGACTGCGACTAAGAAGATCGTCCTTTGAGCAGACTATCTTGAGCAGACTAAGGTGTACTTTGAGTATGACACCAATGGAATGAGACTGAGTTGTAACTAGAGAATCAAAATTGGGAGAAAACTGATAACAAATGTTTTTAGAAGAGACTTAAACAAGTTTTTAATGGCCAGGTAGAGGTCAGTAGTCAATAAGATGGAGAAGAAAAATAGATACTGAATGAAGAAAGTTCCTGCAGAAGGCAGGATCAAGAGCACACATAGCAATCTGTAAGCAATTTAAAAAGGAAAAGGTACAAATATACCTAAACTCTCCCCCTTCTCCTCCCCAGTCACTCTCTTTCTTTCTAGTCCTTCTCTTCTTCCCCTCCCCGAACTAGGAGACAGGAAAGTCTGAGAAAATACTGACTTCAGGACAAGCATGAGAGTATATAATATACACAAAAGAGAAACAAAGAAGTAGAACACAGAACTGACGAGAGTACTGAGAAGTCCAGCTAAAGCTGAAAACCCTAAACCTTTGTACAGCTCCACATAGCATGGCATTAGAAACCTAGAGGGACTTGCAGTTTAGGGATTGTTAAGGCAAAGTAAGCAAGGTTATAGAGTAGACGGGTGAAAAGGTAACTTCCGTAATTCAACTTCACTAGTAAATATAGTATGTAGTTTATAAATAAAAGCAATGTTTTTCTAAAGCTTTTAAAATGAGAGATTGCAATCTTCAGAACCTTCCTACACATAGATACACACACAGACTTCATGAGGTGTGAGAGTTGGTTCTAAATGCTGTGTTAGAAAATTCTAAAAAAAAGCTTTCAGACAAACTGGCAGATATTGTTTAGACATTGTTTTGTTTAAGGACAAAATTATGGGCTATTATTTTTTAAGTCAAAAGCAGAGTCAGGCTCATGCCTGCAATCCTAGCTACTTGGAAGGGTAAGAACAGGGGGATTAAGGATTAGGCTTTAGGCTTGAGGCCAGCCCAGGCAAATAGTTTTCGAGACTCCATCTCCAAAATAACCATAGTAAAAACCAGACTAGAAGTGTGGCTTAAGCAGTAGAGTACCTGTTTTGCAAATGCGAAGCCCCTGATTTCAAATGCCAGTCCCATAAAAAAAAAAAAAAAAAGTTAAAACCAAAAGTAGTATCACTATTATAAAGCAAATAAGGGTATTTCAAAAAAATACAGCAGAGCATGGTAGCTGTAGCACCTGTAGCCCAAGGCTCAGGCAAGAAGGTAGTTGAGCCTGAGATTTTGAGGGCAGCCTGGGCAAAAACAGCAAGACCTCCATCTCTGAAGAAGAACTTTAAAAAAAATTATCTCAATATAAAAAGACACAGAGTTGGTACAACAAGTCCACCAAACTTAAACATTGTGATCTCATAATTTTTCAAATCTCAGTTTTGGCCCTTGGCTTTCTGATCTCTCCAAAAATATTCAAAAATAAATTCTGTTCATTGAGTATGTGAATTCAGCACAATATGAATGTTAATTCCAATCTATAATTCACTGGGTGATTCAAAATATGCCATTATTGAGGAGAGGTTAATCACATACTCAAATACAAACACAAATTATAAGTGAATTGAATACACTATGATAAAATTTTACTAAAGTATATAAAACTAAACATTGAAAGATCTATTTACAGAATTTTTTATTAAAGAAAAGAAAGCTTCTCATCAATGATGTACTTTCAATTATTCTATTCTTAATGATATATAGAGAGATTTACACATTACATCTTTGTTTCTTTTCAGACCATGCATAATTGAGTGATGTGATTTTTAACAGTACTCATCTATGTCACGTTAGTTACTCTATATATTTGAGAAGGACAGGGGAGAGGGAAGTACAGCAAGCATTTGTTTGCTAAAAATAATAAAGTATACAACAGTTTATCAAAACCAAATCATACTATTTTCTATGTCTCAAAATAAAAAAAAAGAGCAATTCGAAGATCAAATTCCTTTTCTTTACCCTCTCCAGCTGAATACCAAATTTAACGTTTTGTTTCCAAGTGAGGCATTTTATCAGCTTTCCCAGCAACATTTTAAGGATGGCTCAGCCTAATGACACTGGCTATTCAGCTAAGTGCCCTTTGTCTCTATAGGAATGTTCTGCAGTCTGCAACTTTCTTTCAACCCTACTAAAGAGATTGGTTTTAATTCACCTGTACCTGAACAACTACTAAATTTATCAATAATAAATTCTTGCTTAAAATTTCCTTCTCAAGTTTTATTCCATCTAAGATGATTTTTACTAAAAAAACATTCATTTGACATTTTCTATCTCAGTGACAGCAGGAAAAGAAACCTGTATACAGGTCCTTGTTTAAAAACAGGTTATCAAGAGATTGCTTTAAAGAACTTGCAGAGTTCAAGATTGTATCCTTGTGTGTGTTTCTATATGTACAAAAAGCAAAAATATCTGGAAAAATATATACTGAAGAGATAACAACCTCTGAATGATTTATTCTTAAATTTCTGTTTCACAAGGCACATGTGGTAGTCCCCCTTATCCACAGGAGATACACTCTAAGACCCCCAGTACAGCCAGAAACTGTGGATAGTACCAAAATCTATATACTATGTTTTTCATATATATGTATATATTCCTATGACAAAGTTACAAATTAGTCACAGTAAGAGATTAACAACAATAAAATAGAGCAATTATAACAAAATACTGCATAACTTACTTAAAAGTTATGAATTGTTTCTTTATGGAATTTTCCATTTAATAGTTTTGGACCATGGTTGAACTTGGGTAACTGAAACCACAGACAAAGAGGGTATTGTAAAGGGGTAGAGTCCCTGCTTGCTTTTTATTGTTTTCCCAATTTTAGCTTAGTTTTTGTATTGTTTTCTAGGCCTTCTTTATCTCACATTATCAGGTATTGCTGATAAATTTCTCTTACAAAAATGACAAAAGTAGTATATATACATGGTTAAAAAAAATAAGGGAAACAAACTACAAGTTGGGTGTCTCTTATCCAAAATGCTTGGAACCATAAGTGTTTGGAGGATTTTTTTTTAATATCCACATACGCAATGAAGCCATCTTGGGTATGTGACCCAAATCTGAACAGGAAATTCATTTGTTTCAAATATACATGTCCTCTTATGCATATAGCGTGAAGACAACGTTACACAATATTTTCAGTGTGCTTGTGGTTTAGGGCGGTTTTTCTGTTCTTTTGATTTGGTTTGAAATTTTCTGGTGATGATGGAATTAGAACCCAAGGCCTCCTACTTGCTAGGCAAGAGTGCTATCAGTTATGCCATGGCCACAGTCCTCTACTGACTTATCTTAAAGTTTCAACAAACTTCATGTGTTTATCTCATGGAACAGTTACAATAGCTATTTTGAAAGCTTTGTCTGATAAATTCTCATCTAGTAGTCTTTCTCTTGAGAAGTACACAAGTTTTTTATGCTTTGCAGATTTATTTTGGGTTGGTTCTATACATTTTGTTTATCATAAAAAATCCCCTGGGGAATAATGATTTGTGGAGAGAGGTGACAACAATCACCTGGCTAGGTTCAGACTGAAAATTCTGCCTGATATTCAGTGGGCACTAGTTCCATTGTTGGTTCCGTTTCCCGTGTTGCTTTGGGTCTGTTCCATGTCATTCTGGGTCATTCTCAGAATGATTCACAGGTAATTCTGGTACTTGGATGGCAGTTTTAATTGTAGTTTTGCTCTTAAAGCCATCGCTTTGCTGCCTGAATATGTCCTATGCCCATGCCAATTAGAGGTGAGCCCTATACTCATACCAGTTGTAACTCAGACTTAGGAGACCCATTTTTCTGGCTCTTCATTTCTGGGATCATCTCCCTGTTGTCTGGTTCATTAGACCTCTTTTTTCCTGGTCCACTGCCATAAAAATGGAGTTTCTCTTTGG